TCCTACGCCACGCGGGTCGGGAGCTGGAGGGGCTGCTGGTCGGCCAGCCCGGGCTGCTGGGCCCCAAGGTGAGGGGGGCAGGGCTGGAGCCAGGAAGGGGCATGAGGGTGTCTGTGTGCATGTGTGTGAGTGTGTGAGCACCCTGTGCTTTCATGTCCAGTCCCCCCTCCTGTCTCAGTGCCAAAGGGCTCCTCTCTGCCCCGCAGCCTTGGGTCTGGGGGAACATGAGTCCCCCCGCCTGTCTCACTGCCACAGGGCTCCTCTCTGCCCCGCAGCCTTGGGTCTGGGGGAACATGGGGTCTCCTCAGTGGTGAGTCCTTGTCATGCTCCTCCAGTCCCAGGAGACCCCCGCCAGCAGCGTATCAGTGCCCCCAGTCCCGATCCACAGCCCTTGCTAGCCCAGCCATGGCTCCGCCCGCTGCCCTACCAGTGCCCCCAGTCCTGACCTTCAGCCCTGCTTTGCCCTCCCCCCTCCATGGCCCCGGTCCAGACCCACAGCCCTTGCTAGCCCAGCCTTGGCTCTGCCCACTGCCCTACCAGTGCCCCCAGTCCCGACCCTCAGCCCTGCTAGCTCTGCCTTGGCTCCGCCCACCGCCCTACCAGTGCCCCCAGTCCTGACCCTCAGCCCTGCTAGCCCTGCCTTGGCTCCGCCCACCGCCCTACCAGTGCCCCCAGTCCTGACCCTCAGCCCTGCTAGCCCTGCCTTGGCTCCGCCCACCGCCCTACCAGTGCCCCCAGTCCTGACCCTCAGCCCTGCTAGCCCTGCCTTGGCTCCGCCCACCGCCCTACCAGTGCCCCCAGTCCTGACCCTCAGCCCTGCTAGCCCTGCCTTGGCTCCGCCCACCGCCCTACCAGTGCCCCCAGTCCTGACCCTCAGCCCTGCTAGCCCTGCCTTGGCTCCGCCCACCGCCCTACCAGTGCCCCCAGTCCTGACCCTCAGCCCTGCTAGCCCTGCCTTGGCTCCGCCCACCGCCCTACCAGTGCCCCCAGTCCTGACCCTCAGCCCTGCTAGCCCTGCCTTGGCTCCGCCCACCGCCCTACCAGTGCCCCCAGTCCTGACCCTCAGCCCTGCTAGCCCTGCCTTGGCTCCGCCCACCGCCCTACCAGTGCCCCCAGTCCTGACCCTCAGCCCTGCTAGCCCTGCCTTGGCTCCGCCCACCGCCCTACCAGTGCCCCCAGTCCTGACCCTCAGCCCTGCTAGCCCTGCCTTGGCTCCGCCCACCGCCCTACCAGTGCCCCCAGTCCTGACCCTCAGCCCTGCTAGCCCTGCCTTGGCTCCGCCCACCGCCCTACCAGTGCCCCCAGTCCTGACCCTCAGCCCTGCTAGCCCTGCCTTGGCTCCCGCTGTGACTGGATCAGAGACCAGTGTGGCTCCTCCTCTCATCTCTTGATCCGTCCCAGTCACTGCCTGAGCCTGAGACCACCCTGGGGTTTCCGGCGACTTAGGCCCAAGGGTGCCCCTTCCCCGGCAGCAGGGCGAGCTGGCTCTGCCCCAGGCTGTCTCTTGTCCTCAGCCTGTGACAGGTTTCACCCCCAGAGCCCAGAAGCCCCCCCGCCCCATAGCTCGGACATCGCTTCCTGGACCAGCGCTCAGGCCAGCTGGCTAGTTCTTAGCTCTCAGCAGAGCCGCCCCGCCCCGCTGGCTGCCATGGCGAGGAAACGGTCAGACACAGATGTACTCTGTCCGCCAGGAGAGGTGTGGGCCTGG